TCTCCCACTCTCACTCACACTCACACTCCCTCACACTCTCACTCTCCCACTTTCACTCACGCTCACACTCCCTCACACTCTCACTCTCACGCACACTTGCTCTCACCCACACTCACTCACTCACTCACTCACCCACTCACTCACTCACTCTCCCGCTCTCACGCACACTCACTCTCACTCTCACCCACACTCACTAACACGCACCTTCACTCTCACTCACGGGCAACATTAAAACATTTTTTCAACCCTAACCTTTTTCAACCGTGCAACATTTTTTAACCCTAGAACATTTTTTGAACCTGTAACATTCTTTTCTAACCCTTGTACATGCTTTTTCGACCCTGGACCCTTCTTTTTCAACCCCGTCCACCTGGCACGAAAAAAGGACGGGGTCCAACGACCTCCGGAAAGGGACCTGGGCCCACCAAACTGATACCCGTAACTGGAAATTCGTTTGGCCCTAGCCCATTTATGAAAACCCAGTAACATCTCTGGCCAGTCTCAGATCTCAGTAAAAGTACGTAAAAATTGGTTTCCTATATCCTACAAACTTGTTTTGCGCTGCACTTCCACTTCCCGCAGCTCGAAGCGCCTCTTTCACTTTTCAGGGGTCGTCCTTGACACGGACCGCGTCGTCCGTCCGCAGGAGCAGACTGCCCAGCCGGGCGCTTACAAGCTCTGGGCCACTGGGAGTCACACTTGGGCCACTGGGAGTCACACTTCCCATCTGGAAAATCACAGTTCATCTGCTCCTGGTTGCTGTCTTCTCCGAGCGCGTGGTATTTTGACAGATGTACTCATGGGCGCAAACAGACACCCGGCAACGCCGCCTTCGCGGTTACAAGGAAATTATGACAAAGACACAAGCAAAAGAATGCTGACATCTGAGTGGGGAAGCAACTGCGAAGTGGTCACACAGTCTTTTTCTCTCAGCGTGAGCGGTTTGGCAAGAAATGCACTGAAAATGACAAGGCGTTCAAATCCACGTACCGCTCTGTCAGTCTAACATTGTCCAACGATCTAACACAAAGTTGCTACGTTCAGCATCACGGCTTCTTATGTTTCATGTGCTTCAAGACAGTCGTTTTCTCTTCTGAGCGCGTGGTCTGCTTTCAGGAACGGCCATGCAGTGCATATTCCCTTGGAGTCCTGTCAGTCAAAACACCGGCTGATCATGTACAAGACACAAGCGCAAAACAGGTGGACATAACAAGCAGAGAGAGTCCACGCTTCTGCGGTAGCTTCTGGCCATGCTCTGTCGCGGGCGACGGTGTTTGGCAGGCGACCTTGCGTCAGGCAAGCGTGCGTCGCGAAGTAATAGCAACAGCGTTCACCTGCATCTGGTTTGCGCGCCGCACGCCTGCCGCGTTCACGCAAGCGGCACAAGCGTCTCTTTCTGTATCTATATCGCCCCAAACAAACATTGAGCAAAAGGCGACAGGTCAAGCAGGCCAAAAGGCAAGAATGTTGACGTCGCACCCGCTGTCTGTCAGGTTCAGGCGTTTCGACACAGGCGCGTATTGGTCACACAGTCACAGACTCTTTTTCTTTCACGCTGTGAGCGGGAACACAGAAATGCATTGACAGGCGCAAATGCACTGATATCGATCTGTAGTGCCACTTGCTTGTCACATCCTCAAGGATCTACCCGAAGGTGGGTATACGGACAGCATCTTCGACAATCACGTCTCATCTGCTTCTGGTAACTTTCTCTTCCGGCCATGTGGTCTGTTTCGAGGGATTGCATTTAAGTTAATATCGCCCAAATACAACATGCTCGCAGTCGGCGTGCATCACAAACTCTAAACACGTACATAATATGGAGTCCACACTCTCTCGGTATTTTCTTTTCTGTCGCGGCCAAGAAGCGTTCGGCAGGTGGCCTTGCAGCACGACCGCGTGTGTCTTGAAGCATTTGCGAAGCGCAGTCAGATTAATCTTGTTTTCGTCCAGAATGCCTGCAGCTTTCATGGCGGTAATGAGAGGATCCCCCTCTGCAGCTATCATGGAACATAAACATTGGGCAAAAGCTTCCCGAATTGCCACCTGCGCTGGCAGCATGCCATCTTGCTTTTGCGCTCCCATAACCCAGAAATTTGTCAAACCATCAATGCCCGGATTGTCTGCGTTGTCTGCGCAAAGCACGACGTGGCAGTAGTTGCGCGTCTTGTCCGCGCGCAATTCATTCCAAAAGTCGACTGCAGGTGACCGTCCTGTGCTGCGTAATGTTTGGCCATTCAGCAATGCGCTTGCCATAGTCTCTGGCGTGCGTGTTTAAATATGTCTTGCGGGGGGAAGCACGAAGGTCCCCTGCACCTGTGCTTGCCAGCGAGCGTGAAAACTTTCGATTGTCTGTGAGCCTGACGCAGTTCCAGGATACGTGCCAATGATTCCCGACCAAAAGCCGGCAAACCACAAAGCTTCCGGGTTCCAGCTTCCACGATTACAGCGAAATTGTTTCCCCAAGCTCTGTGGTGTCAACAAGCGGAAATACGTATCTTGCAAGTATTGGACTGCTTTCTTCGACCTGGTCTCAAGCCAGGCAAAGGTAAAATGCCAAATCAGGTCGAATATTTGCGCTGTGG